ACACACACACACACACACACACACACACAAAAGCACAGTTCTGTTATTTTCAAAAACACAGTGTATCATTATGCAGTTTTTACAATTTTACAGGAGAGCCAAACCCCCCCCCCCAAAAATAAAACAACAACAAACAACAAACATAATGTTTTTACCAAGAAAAGAAACTCTTTTCCAATATCCCAAGCCAATATTTTTAGGAATACAATTTTGATGATAATTTCCTTATTATCTTTAAAGCAATTAATGCTGTTTAAAGGTAGCATCATTAAGTGTTTTTTTGTTCTTTTGTGTGTGTGTGTGGGGGGGGGGGTGCTCTCTTGTAGAATTGTTTAATAAAAAAAAAAGACAACTGCATAATATTATATAATATACATAGCAGCCTACACATGACATACTGTATTTTTTTTCTTCTAATGACGGGAGAGTTTACACCCGCTTCTACAAGACCAGACACCTCGATTTGGTAAACGTAGAACTTTTCAGGGCGATGTCATATATATATATATATATATATATATATATATATATATATATATATTACCCGGTGACGTTTACCTGGTCGCTAGGTGTGGGACACGATGAACAATGAACATTTAGGCTAGATTTTGAGAATCTGTGGGTGACTTGCGTGCGTCACAACTATTTTTAGCTTTTGTGTTTCGAGACCTGAAAACTGCATGTAGGATTTGGTGTTTGTTTACCAGGCTGTCACACCCAAGTTATGCGTGCACTGGCTCTCTCTCTCTCTCTCTCTCTCTCTCTCTCTCTCTCTCTCTCTCTCTCTCCCCCCCTCTCTCTCCCTGTCTCTGTCTCTCTCTCTCTGTCTCTCTCTCTCTCTCTTTCTCTCTCTCTCTCTCTGTCTTTCTCTCTCTCCCTCAGGGGGGCTCTTGATTTAATCTCTTCGTTTGGTGTTTACATGGATTTTATGTTCTGAAATGGCTTATGTACCGTTGAAAATGAATTAGTAATACATGTACAACATGTTCACTGCCATTTTAAAAAAATCTTTCTTTTAAACTGTCTTTTAACACCTTCATTCTTTCTCTACGAAGCATCCTCCTTTTAAGAATAAATGTTTTCACCGTGGTCAAATATTCAGATTGTTACACATTGATCCAAAGTGGTCCACATTTATTGGTTGAAAGTCAGGGGATTGAGTGGTTAGCCCGTTAATGATGCGACGAGTGCATCAAAGTTGACATCTCTTGCGTGAAGCGGCAGGTCATTATTTTTTCAAGACAAAGCAGCTCTGCGGGTAATTTTAGCAAGTCTGTGTACGAGTCGATGCCCCCATGACCCTGGGTTCACGTCTTATCACCTAGATGTGTCTTGATCTCCTCGTCTCTGATCTATCTCCCCCGTCTGGTGGTAAAAAGTGCTGAAGCTCTAAGGCAGTAGCCCAGGGAAAGGAAAGGGGTGAAGCTGCAGCGAGGGAAAGGGGAACTGATGAGACGGATGAGTGAGGGTGGCAGAGTGTGAAGGCGTGTGTATTCGTGTGTGTGTGTGTGTGTGTGTGTGTGTGTGTGTGTGTGTGTGTGTGTGTGTGTGTGTGTGTGTGTGTGTGTGTGTAGAGAGAGAGAGAGAGAGAGGGAGGGAGAGAGAGAGAGAGAGAGAGAGAGAGAGAGAGAGAGAGAGAGAGAGAGAGAGAGAGAGAGAGAGAGAGAGAGAGAGAGAGAGATGTTTAAGTGTGGAACAGTTAGCTTAAAAATACAAGAGGTGTGCCAGGTAAAAATGTGTAGTGTTTTGGGTATTTTGAAGTGTCCCATAGAGCTTTGAACTCTGGAGGGGAAAATGGGCCCAAGAACGATAACGGAGACAAAGAGGGTGTTTTCAAGTTCAAGTGGTTAGGGGAATGGAGTTTTTAGGGAGATTTTATGTTTATTTGAGAGTTTTTTTGTTCATTTTTAAGGGGATTTTTTAAAGTTTGTTTTGTTTTTATTTTTGGTGTTTGTTTATTTGTTTGGTGGGCTGTTGTTGTTTTTAAAGAGCGAGGCTTTTGCTTTAGGCGGACAGCTACCATGACGATCGTGGTGAGCAGTAGATTTCATTGTGCTTCATGGATATGATAATAGGGCCTATTAATGTTTATTCAAGTTCTATCTACTCTTTGTTTGATTGTTGTTGCATATAGAAGATGTTAGTTTGATTCCTGTTTGGGGAGAATTTTGGTGCTGGTCCACCTCACTATTCTACAGCGATGTTTTTGGTTCTTCTTGACAGTGTACTACAGGACCTGTCTTATAACTGTTCCTTTTGACAGTGTCCCAGGCCACTGCAATCCACACTGCTATACATTTTTCCTTGTGTTTATACAGGTTTGGGACCCTCATTCTCCTACTTCTCGTTGAAGTTTGCCTGGAGGATTGGGGGGGGGGGGGGGGGGAC